ATCCGAATCGTAAGTTGCCATCCAGGACATCAGGATGAAGTCGCAAAACTCAGCACTCTTCATATTGTGCTTGGACCGCAGACCATGGACATCGGTAGCACGATTAGCGCAGCTCGAGACGCTTCTCCAGGTGGAGAGACGTACACGTGGATGCTGAATCACCTCTGCAAATGCCTGATTCGTCAGGCAGAGCAAGAAGTGACCGCCAAGCAGGACACTGCTTTTCCCTTGGCTCGAGTTGTCATCTGGTTGCTGTTGGAGGGGCACACTCAGCTTGGAGAGGTCTTGATGGCTAGGTTGACGAAAAAGTGTTGCTGGGTCTTGGGGTTTGTGCCGGAACGACCAGTCGTGAGTCACGTCGAGTCGAGCCTGCGTATGAGCTGTTCAGTAATTCACGTCCTCTTCATCCATTTCTCCCCTACCAGAGCATGGACAGCGCCGAGCACGCAAAACTCATTGGTCGCGCATCGCCTGAAGAGAGCTCTCTACAATTCACTTCCAGAATGTGTGGTATTCTTGCCTTTTACAGCGCGTGTATCACGATCAAGCCCACAATGCCGCCTTCTGGCAAAGCCCTCGACTTGAATCTGATACCGGCTCACTTCCGACCTTCTGCTCTCTGGACATGGCAAGCCAGATGCGTCACGCCTCCCATGACGGATCACGCTCTCTCACCCGCTCTCTGGGCTACACTGCTAGAGGTTGCTGGACCGAACCTCTTGCAGGTGTACTCAAGACAGATTGTCAAGCTCTGGAACCTTTTACTCGAGCAGGGTATTCGACAGGCTAAAGCTGGCTTTGTCAAGGATGAGTCGGCTAATGCTGCGACGACGAGGTTGAGACTTTTGCTCGAGGACTGGAGCAAGGAGGGGAAGATCTGCAATCCTACACCGGGGTCTGAGATGCTGTTGCAATGATCAGGTGTCACCCAGTCATACTCCCAAGGGTCCATTTTGCACACACATCAATTACGATTCCGACGACTTTTGCAACCAATTAATCTATTGAATAGCTTGCATCTTTTGCCAAGCGTTTCGGCTCTAGATGGTACTCTTCTCAATCTCAGCTGCTTGGTCGAGCCTCTCAGCAGCTCGCTGCTCCTGTATCTTTATCAATTTGTCGAAGTCGCCCTGAACGACCCAAGCATCCACATATTCTTCAGTCCCATCCGGTCCATTCTTCAAGAGGCCAGCCTTCTTTATTCGTCCCACCTGTTCGAAGCCCAAAGACTCCCAGATCCTCATGCTCGCTACGTTGGAGACGTAGACCAGGTTGAAGATGGAGCCGATGTAGCCCGCTGCTGGACCGTAATGCACAAAGGACAGACCTGCTAGTGATCCCAACCCACTCCCTCTCGCGCTTGGAGGGACTAGAAAGCCGGCGTTGCACTGATGGCGGAACATGAAGGGTGCGAGACGAATCAGCGTGCAGAAGAGCGTGTCAGCTCGGCATCGCGACGCGTCAGACCTGGCTCTGCAGGGCTCGAACTTACGATATGAGAAGAACGACCAGGATAATTAGGCTAGATTGAAGTAGAGAGAGAGCTCATTAGTAATGCATGCTATCAAGCCTCAACGTAGCAGAAACCGACCTTGATGTAGTAGGCAAAGCGCCATCGACTGTCCCAGTCGACCGTCCCCTCGGTGGAAACCCGCTGGATGAGGCTCGCAACATCCAGCTGCAGCGCCGTTCCTGAGGTCGGCAAGTGCCCATGAAAGTCCGACACATTGTCACTCGTGTTCTGAATCGCCTCGGTCAAGACTTCGGCCAACAAGTCCGGCTCAGCTTCTGCACGGTGCCGTTGCAACTCGGC